TCTGGCACCAGCCATAGACCAGGGATATCCTGGAAGGACTGGGACACAGGCTCATCCTATATACTGCTGAAGCTGAAAGAGCAAACAGGAGCTAATTCATTACATTACAACTCAGATCAGAAGTCTGGAGGCAAGGACAAAACATACTATTTTAGAAAAAAAAAAAAAAATTCTGAAAGCAAGAGTATCTGACCCAGGTCATGGGATGGATTTCTTGAGGTTCAGGAAACCCTTATAACTGATACAAACTTCTGTGTGCGGATGCGTTTTGTTTTTTTTTCCCCTGAGGGGGCAGGGTCACTGTTTCTATCATACTTTTAATGGTGTGTATAATCTCTAAGACTTAATAGCCATTTTTAAAGCATCATTTCTAGTTTATTGTTTCTTACTGAGATTTATTTTGTAGGGTCTGGGGACTCTCCAAAGTCATGTGGTAACAATGACATCTTAAAAGGTACCCAAATTTCAATACCTCATATCAATTTAAGGTCAGGGATGCCAATTCTAGACAATGCTAACTCCAGACATTTAAGGGGAAAAAAAAAAAAATCTGCCTCCTTCTCCTGAATTATCTGCTTTACTAATTCCATGCATAGGGATATTTTTTAAGGGTCAGTATTTCAAAACCATTCCATTTCACTACCTACAACATAAAATCGTAGTTTCCTTTAAAGGCTTCCTCTTACCAATTTATTCCTTAGTGAATAAGGTGGAAATGATATGAGGTACTAATATTATATGTAGCATTAATGCAAAGCAAAAATGTTGCCTAAAGCATGTTTTATATAACGGCAGATAAAAATGCTAAAAAAAAAAAAAAAAAAAAAAAAAAACCAAAACAAAAAAAAACAAAACAAAAAAAACCCCATCACCTGCTGGATCTTGTACTTTAACCTCCTCCGCTTCAAGCAGGAGCCCTGATTATAATCCCGAGCTTCCAACTGGACGACACACGAGCTGCACTTCCAGTGGATTTCACTATCCTCCTTCCAGTGAAATGGCCTTCTGGGTGAGGGGCTCCCACATGATGTAACCTTGGAAGGGAGAGGAGGGGCAGGAGGGGAAAATCTCCGATGACCGGTTTCAAGTTCAAGTTCTTTACAGACGGCCTGAAACTGTGGTCAGCTTTCTGCTGCAAGCAACACACACGGTTTACTTTCTTTCCTGACTTTCCTGCTGCCAGAGTACACATGTACTTTTACTTTCTTAGGAGAAAATGTGTCATTTGATTTCCTTCCAGTTTATGTACTCGTGCCAACAACTAAAATGCTTAAAGAACCAAAATGAATTACTACCCAGAAACGGTGGTCAAAGTTCCAAAATTCGATCAATAAAATTGCTCATCTACTCACAAATTAATCTTCAGCCAATAAAGTTACACATTTTCGAGGTTATGAGCACACCTGCACCGTTAAGCATTTATTTCACTTGTTTAAGCAATCTTCAGAAGCATATAAATATTTATAAAAGCAAGCCTACTATTTTTACCTACATATAATTTTCTTTTTCTGCAGCAAAACCTTGTTAATTCTTTTACAAGTCATAAGCCTCCTGAAGGCAGGGTCTATACCCCTGGCAGTCTCATGTAGCTAAGCGTCAGCGGGATACCCTGCGCGTGGAGGCTGACCCAGAAATGCTCACCGCGTCACATTGAATAAATTCAGATCCTCCTGATTATGAATTTACAATGGGGCCAATTTTCAGTTTTCATTTGGATCATTCATAAAAAAGTTGCAAGGCAACTCGAGAGACTAAAGGAGGGGCGATTTAGGTTACTAAGTTGAACATTTTTTAAGAACTTCAAAAGCAATATCTATACCCAATTAATGCCTGTATTTTGTAAACCACACGTCGCCCAAGAATGTGGCCAGCTCAGGTTGACTTCTGCATGTGTATCTGGAGAGAGCGTTTCTCTCTTATTTACTCTCGTCTTCCTGAAATTAGTCCAAATTGCTGATGTTCGACTACATTTTGTGATCTCTATCGAGTAACCACTGAGAGCCTCCTCTAACTTTCCATTCTCTTTTGTTTGTTATCATCAGCCTGTGAAACTGGAGAACGCTGCCAAACATAAAGCAAGGAAGTGTGAGATATGCCTAAAATATAAGTCACAGTATATTTGAGGATTTGGGTTTCTTTCTTTCTTTCTTCCTTTTTTTTTTTTTTTCCTCAAGCAATCAGCAGATCAAATTCTTCTTCCCTGTCAAGCCTTCCTCTATGCGGAAGATCTGAAATTTGCTAAAATAGGTCTCTCAATGTGGTTATAAAGGGTATGAAGAACAGAGATGAACACTGTTAAGGTTATAGGAGTTCCCTTTCGTTTCAGAGCCACACTGGCTGAGATGTCCCCAGCGAGGACACGGAATGGCAAGATCTCTTTCAATGTGAAGGTTATTCCTTCTGTGAATCACCGAGTCTCTGTACGTATTTTTGTAAGGAGGTAGTACACCACGCGACCTAGGTTAGTAATTTCTCCCCTCTGTTCGTGGAAGGCCAGCCAACCTAAGAAAGCCTGCTGAATCGTATGACCCTACCAGGCAGCTGGCAAGACGCGGTCTATGACGCACATGACGGATGCACGCACACGCACAGGCATACACACAGCCACACGCACACACAACCAGTCAACCAACTCTTCATTTTCTCCCCCCCAATCAACTCTTGAACCTGGTCTAAATTCCATGCTTGTCAACTCTCCCACGGAGGGCTAGGAAGGCACTCAAAACATCTTATTTAGCAAAACCAGAATTCAAGATGGCCCCCCTCGCCCTGCACTTTCTATACAGACTGAAGAGCTCAGCAGAATGTGTTAGGTTGGTTTTGACACTGTCTTTGCCAAGAAAAATGAAGCTCTCTGTATCATACTCTTCTGGTGGCTAAAAACCTTATAACGGGCAAGAAAATGAGCCCTCAGAAGGAAATCCCCTGAAACTTTACTTCGTATATTTAGCCCTAAAGCAACTTCGTTCATCTTGGAAAAGAAGTTACCTAAAAATGCCATATGTCTTTAAAAAGCAAGTATGAGGGAATATAAGTCTAGTATAAAAAAATTACATATGATATTCAATACTGCAGAGCAGTGCATCAGACAGATTGTGTATGTGTGTACTTTTTAAAATTATCCCTAACCGAAGCTCTACTACGTGTGAGAGTCCCACCTCCCCCCAATAATATATTGTCATTTTTCCAATGCACTTGAAGTCTGATAAATTCAAGAGGACTCACGGTATTTTTAAGGCTGTTAGAGCTCCAAGAGGGAGGCAAAAAGAATGGACAGTCATTTGAATCACTGAGTGACAGGCTGGGCTAGTTCCCTGTATACATTAATAAATTAGAATTTTAATTGTGTCTCTGTCTGCAGGAGATGCCCCAACACTTTAATATGTACCAACAATTGGCTATGTTCTGGAATCTGCAATGTGGCCTCCGCAGCTGACCTCTGAAACACAATTCCCAGTCTGACTACGGAAACTGTTCAGTTTGATCCTTTCAACTTATTTGAATCCTGACAAATAAGCTCACAGCTGAAAGGTCAACCCAGTCATATTTCATCCTCCAGAGCTGTTCTTAAGACATCTGCACAACAAAGCACTTCTTATAGCACCTGACATGGGACCTCAATGGCCCTGTACCTCATTAAAAATGTCCCCAGCATTCACACACGTGAAAAGGCCTAGGGATTGGTGATGATGGTTTACCAAGTAACTAACTGGTTTTGAAAGTGTTAGTCAGCAATACACACTGTCACCCAACTGTTCCCATAGAGGGTTACTTTAGTGCCAAACTTGACCTAGACAGTGACGGCTTCCCGAGCAGATGTAGAAGAACTAGGACTTGCTCCCCAAATGTCAGTTAGATCTTTGCAGGATAATTTGGGAACTGGTGTTGGTTCACTCTGATCTGAGAAAAGTCAACACAAGCTGGAATTTGGGTTGACCTCATGGTCACAGTCACTGGTGCCAAGTTATACCCAACAGCTACCATCTACAAGTTCTGTCCCCAAATGTCCAGTGTGAGAAACTCCTCTTCACTTCCTGCTTTGAGGCTGCCCACTCTGAGCTACATACGCAAGTTGAATCATGTCGGACCTGCAAGTGCCCTGCCTCCGGTGTGGGCACGAACAGCCTCCATCAAGTTTCTTTGAAATTTCTATGCCACTTTTCTACTCCGAGTCAAAAATCCAAATTAGATTTTTTATGAATTCCCTTTTTCTACACCGTTAGCCCCTGCCCTCAATAGGGCTGAAATCAGAAGTTGCTAAAACTCTTTTGATATCTTTACATGAAAATCACCTGCCATTTGTCATTAGTGATCGAGAAGTATTCTGAAAATATCCGCTAAAGAACAAAATACGTATTACATTGATGACTAGGCAAATTAAAAGTACCGTATCTTCCTCAGTCCTCTTAGCCGTTCTTGACACAACTGACACTTTGGGATGAATGGTTCTGTGCTGTGGGGAATCTCCCCGTACAGTGTATGATCAATTAAATAGCATCTTTGACCTCTACTTATTAGGTGTCAGGAGCACCAATGTCCCCCGTGGGACAACCAAAAATTATCTCTAGACATTGCTCTCTGTCCCTTGGTGGGGGGTGGGGGGCCAGTAAAATCTCCCCCAGTTGAAAACCACTGCACTAAAGTTATGGGTGTGGGTATCATGTTTCCAGCCCCACCATGAGAGAAGGAAGTGACCTATCTTGAGTACCAGGAACTTTTTCTTCTTGGTCTACATGGTCCCTGATAAGCAACGCACACCTGCAAAACTCATCTTCCTATTACAGCAACTCGTTAGAAGATCTTCTCCTCAACCACCACACTCTTGGTTGAATAGACATTATTTTCCAAAATGTCATCCTCTGCTGGTAAACTAAAAAAATGCACCTTCTGCAGAAGATCGTCATACGTGATTTGCAACTCCCAACACAATCTACTTCTGAATGGCGTATCAGCTCTCCCAAAGTGTATAATGTTAATGTTTTTCAAAAAAGAATTATCACCTGAAGGGCTGGTTGTTTGTCATTCCTCTTGGGAGATTTTAATCCACTAACTTGCTGCTGTTGTTGCTGCTGAAGGAGAAGCTGTCTGGCCACTTGAAGTGCCTGGAAGGAAAAATGGAAGAAACACGTTGGTGTGAGTCGCCGTGTTCGGAGCTTCCTTCACATAAAGGATTCCAGGAAGTACACTTGAGGATGGGATCCTGACTTTCGCATTTCCAGGCCAATGAAACAGCCCACAAAACTTCCCAGCAGTCTAAGCTGGGGAACTTTTCTCATTTGGTTTACATTTTCTTAGATGGAGTCAGTGGTACAGCCAGTTCCTTAGACACAGCAATCCACCCAGGCCGATGCACTATTCCTGCCATCAGTGTGACATAACTGGGACCATGAATGACTGGCACCCTGAGGAAGGAAAGCAGAGCAGCGAGGAAAGACCTGGACAGAAGGCACAGATTTAGGAGATGACAATGGGGCTTTTTTGGGAGGCGGCTTCATTCTACAATTTGTGGGGGGAACTTAAGAGCTCGAGTCAAAAGGAAGTAAGACTTTGACCTCTTCTGAGCCCAGATAAAGAGAAGCTCAATGGTGAAACACACTATGGATAAAGGTATGTGAGAAGGAAAATCAAATAAGGTAAGATACACTCAGGGTGACCTGAAGAACCTATCTAAGAAAAAAAAAAAAGTAGCAAATGCGACCTCTAGGTCAATTCAAAATGTACATTATGCACCTGTGAACAAAACAGATCATGCCTAATAAAGAATGATGCTTTGAAGCTCGTAACATAGGTGGTTTTTATTTAAAGGCAGAAACTAGAGCAGTAATATGAACTGGGGGTAAAGCAAAAGGTAAACAGCAGAGTCCTCCCAAGTTCAGAAAACTGACTGACCAATCTTTTTTAAACGTTCAAGTAAAAAAAGAAAAAAAAAAGTGTCATCAAGAAACCCTCATGAGAACATTTACTGTCAAAGAATTTAACAGAAATAATGCCACACCTTTCTAAAGAGGGCAGCCGGATCAGCAACAGAAGACTGAAGTTTGCAGACAGTGTGCTAGGAAATCACATGAGAAGTTACACTAGTTGAGTTAATTTGGCTGAGAACCAAGAATGTTCATGTCGAAGAGATGTCAAGACTGTTCATTTAATGACGTGCTTAGAGTTTAGAGACAGAATGAGATTTCTTGGGGATTGCATCAATAATAATTTCTACATAGTAACTAATTATTGGTGCCTCAAAGAAGATGCACCAGTAGATGTGGTCACCACAGCCAAAGGATCTGATGCTAGAAATCTCTGAAAGTGTGCGTAATGGACATATGATGGTAATGCATTCCTCAGAGAGAAACAAAGACTTCATTTGCATAAAACACTCAGGTATGTAGTTCCAAAAAATGTCATAGTGACAGCATGGAATGAGGGAAAGGTAGGATGTCCTGGAGGGCCCTGTGCACTGATCTCAGGGGGAACGGAAGAGAGAGTAGTCAAGAAGGACTGTTCATGACAGACACCGAAAAATGTCAGATCTGCAAGGGCAGGGCTTCTGAAAGGACCACTTCACTAACTGAACTCACGACCGTACTACTGTAGCAAAGAGTATTTTCTAGACATTTTGTAAGGTTGAGCGGTGCCTTTGTGCCTAAAAGGCACACAGGGAAGCCATGAAACAGGTGCATGGATAAATGGGTGACAAGGAAGAATCTTAGGAAAGACGGAAACTTCCCGTCCCACCTCCCTAGGACACCCCCCACCTTGTCCCAGGGAGGCCTTCTGCCGACTGAACTCAACCACTACCAGCCCTTCAGATGTAACGTACAGGCTAGCTCATCTGTAAAGGGAGAGACATGTTCGAGAAAGCCTGCCTGGAAGAGCCTCCAGAAGAGAGGCTGTCTGAGAGGGGCATCTGGAAGCCAAGACGCCTGGGAGAGCTGCCCGAGACTCCAGCCTGCTGTCTCCGAGGAGGATTCACCATCACTGGACTCCGGGTTTCCTTGTCTCCTTGGAGACGCTCAGTACATGCGTAGGTGTAAAAGTGGGCAGAGTGAAGATTTCATTTATATCATATAAGAAAAATAGTCCCCTTTGCAAGGTGCCTGCAGGAGCAAAAGCCTTTCCTCCTACTATATATGTTCTCTTAACTACTTCACATGAGGGTTTTACGGCTTTTTAATGTAGGGAAGGGAACAGCTACACAGTCCAGGGGTTTGCTTCAGAGTTCCCGGAGTAATGAACGGATGAACAAGGAAGGGTCTGGCTGCTACCTGGGAGGGCAGGCAGAGGGACTGTAGATGACAAGGAAAAGAGTACGGAGGAAGACATGGTGGGGAAGAGGAGAAAGTAAGGACATTTGATACTAGAACAGAACAAGCAAAGCAAGGCAAAATGATGCAAATTCCATAGTCACCAACCTTCGTTAAAATTATTTACTGTGTGTCACCAAGTATTTGGAGAACAGGTACTCAGTCTTTAAATAACCAAGTCTCAGAGAATCTGTGCACTGAACTCGTTTTGGCAAAAGGGATGGTATTTAGTGTCTTTTTAAAAAACATACACACACGCCACACAAAACTATTCTTATGTTCTCCTAAGTATACTCGAGCAAAAGAAAGTATAGGACTCAAACCTAAGTTTTCAACCAATGTCTACTGAGCTGGCTCTAAAACATTTCAAAATTGGCTAGTGAAATCCTTGTGATTATTTTCCTGGTTTTAGGAGATAAAATCATGTACGTGTACAACATCTTTTTTTAGACCGAACGTGGAGCACGTGAACTTAAATAATCATGTAATGAACTCCAGCTACCTTACAGCATTTCATACCGAGCCCTGCTGAAGATGATAATCAAAGACAGCAACTCAGGGTAGAAAAGGCTTAGGAACTTGTACGAACACAGGTGATTTTTCAGTCAAACTACCCAAGAGAGAAGAATGCAAGATGGACATATGTGCAAACTGGCTTCCAAATTTTATTCTCAAAATGAATGTAAATATGCAAAATAATTTTAAATATCTGGGATGCTGAGGCAATACTAGTATAAATTATTCCCCTTGATCTGAATTGTTATGTATTGCTTCACAACAATTCCCTGACCTTATCCTGATTATGGGAACCAAGTTGGAGCAAAGTATTAAACCTATCCTCCCCTACCCCCAAATCAACGGAGGTCTCAGCAAGCACATTAAAAGATCATTTATTAGAACTTATAAAGTGCTGTGAAATCAACCACCAAAGGACATTTGCTTTTCTGATTTCCAGTATATGTAAAGCATTGTGATCTAGATTTTAAATTGTCTTAAAAAAGAAGAGAACATAAATCCTTAGTGTACTAGATTACGCATTTGAGCATTATCATGATAATATGAGCTGTATTATGTAATTTATAATACGAATCTCTGGTATTATTGGAAAGTCAAGAATGTTCGATCTCCTATTCATTGTTGGTCAGTGCCAAATCTGAAATGACTGATGGGACCCTCTTTGGAAACTGCACCATGAGTTACCCATACGAGCTTACTTGACAGCCAGCCTTAGAGATATGTTCCAGTACAACTAAAGAGGGAGGAAGAACATTTCTCATTTCTATAATGATATCTCAATCACATCTGAAGAGAAGTTATGATAGCCTATTTGAAGAAAAACGAGATCCTTTGGATACAGAATAAAAAGATGCATGGATATGTGTTTGTGCATGTATGAGGGAGAAGAAAAAAGGGCTGGTGTGGGGCGGGGAGAGAAAGAGAAAGGATATGAACAAATGAAAGAATTTATCTCTTAAGAAGCAAAGATCAACTCTGACTCCAGTTCCAGACCAACTGCTAATATAAATAACGTAAAAGGTCCCATCCCATCTCTGGAGACCTTTCACTATTGATGGCGGTTCCTGGGCTGGGTTGAGTCAACACTTCCTTTATAACAGATGTGACAATTGCTTGGCACTGGACAACTTGGTGCTGTATTGAGTGCTAGGCTCAGGTTACAAGAAAGACGTAGTTTGAAGATGTCATAGAAAGGGGGTGACTGATAAAACCAGGGACTTAAAGCCCAGATGCACACACTCACATCTATTTTCCTTCAACGGATAAAATAAATGGCTCTGTGAGCCAACAGAGGAAGGGGATGGAAGGCGTGCGTGTACTCTCTTAATCTGTGAACTTGCCGGCCTCCCTCTCTGCCTTGGCTATTACCTATACCCCAGTCGGCGCAAGGGGTCAAAGTTGCCTTATGATCAAGGCTCCGTGGGCCACAACCAGCTCGGAGTACTCAAGAGTCCGGGAGTGTCCTTGGTTGCTGGTTTGGCAAGTCATGCACCTATGCTAACTGGGGCCTAAGCATTTCTGATACACCATCAATTCTACGGGTTCAAAATTATGTCATTCTCTTGAGGGCCTTCACCTTCTTGGTAAGTGCCAACTGTTATCTACAAGATACGCTTCGCACAAGCATCTTTACAACTTTTGAGCTATTTATAGCTGAAGTTCAGAGCAGGCGTTTATACGGAAGGGGCCAGGTATCCCCATGTTCAGCATGTTTATTAAGGCAGCCAATGTTCAAAAACATGTTTACCATATTTTAAGAAACAGCAATAACTTTATATAAAATATGATTGGAATAAGCACACGCATATACTTAAAGCAAACTGGCAGAAAGAGAAAAACTTCACGTGAGTCTTTTTACACACTTGGTGGTGAGGCCTGAGAGAAGCACTGATACTTGGAGGTCCTCAAAAAAATATGACGAACCGCAGTGTTTTAGGTCCTGGGTCAGCAACCTGTAGCCCGTGGACCAAATCCCCACATCAGCTGTTAGTGCTCAGCCCACGAGATGAGAATGGTTTTTACTTATTTAAATAGTTGGGGAAATAATAAAGGGAAGAATATTTGGTGACATGTGAAAATTATACGGAATTCAATTTTCAGTATCCACAAATAAAGTTTTATCGGAACGCTGTCGTGTTTGTTTCATTACACACTGTCTGTGGCTGCTTTTGTATCACCAGGCAGAGTGAAGTACTTTCAATACAGACTGTATGGCCCGCAGAGCCTAAAATATTTCCTCCCTGGCCCTGTACAGGAAAAGTTTGCCGAGCCATGCCTTGGGTTGCTAT